AGTAAATACGGGTGGCATGCAGTCTTAATGGCCCTCGTGAAGTAAATACGGGTGGCTTGCAGTCTTAATGACCCTCGTGAAGCAAATACGGGTGGCATGCAGTCTTAATGACCCTCGTGAAGTAAATACGGGTGGTATGCAGTCTTAATGACCCTCGTGAAGTAAATACGGGTGACATGCAGTCTTAATGACCCTCGTGAAGTAAATACGGGTGACATGCAGTCTTAATGACCCTCGAGAAGTAAATACGGGTGGTATGGAGTCTTAATGACCCTCGTGAAGTAAATACGGGTGACATGCAGTCTTAAAGACCCTCGTGAAGTAAATACGGGTGGTATGCAGTCTTAATGACCCTCGTGAAGTAAATACGGGTGACATGCAGTCTTAATGACCCTCGAGAAGTAAATACGGGTGGCATGCAGTCTTAATGACCCTCGAGAAGTAAATACGGGTGGTATGCAGTCTTAAGACCCTCGTGAAGTAAATACGGGTGGCATGCAGTCTTAATGACCCTCGTGAAGCAAATACGGGTGGCATGCAGTCTTATTGACCCTCGTGAAGTAAATACGGGTGACATGCAGTCTTAAAGACCCTCGTGAAATAAATACGTTTCGCCCATTTCTCCTGCGGCAGACTTGTTCATTCGGACATAGTGATGACCGACTAAGGTAAACATACATCTCTCTGACCTTGTCGAATTTCCAATAGATCAAAACGGTGTCTTTCGTAAGCATTTACTAAATCCTTTAGATATAGGACCAAGATTACATAAAAAAAAAATATTCTGGCAGTATAATAACCTATTGAAAGGAAGCAATGAGGGCTATTTAGATATCTGCAAAAATAGCCCAGATACGGTAATTACCTGGATGACTCACATAAAATCCTCTCAAAATCATAGACGACTCTTTGGATATATAAATTTGTTGCACAATGCACACGAAGTTGTGTATAATTTCCAGCTGGTGTATTTTCTATACACCGTAGACTACATACTATTATTTATCTAAGGTATTAAAACGTCCAGAAAAGGGAGGCTGTTTTTCTCCAGTCGTATTTAAACCTAATGTGGAATGATGTAGCTTTCTAAATTATGAAAATTCAAAATTTTGTACATCAGGTTATTGGAAAATGTTTATAGTTAATAATAATAATAATAATAATAATAATAATAATAATAATAATAATAATAATAATAATAATAATAATAATAATAATAATAATAATAATATCTTTACTTATACCAGTACATGTACAAGGTATACAGACCATAGCTGACATCAATGACATGCTACTATATAGAAAGCCGCTTGTTATGCTGAGCATTTCCCGCAAATTAGGTCAGTTTTGTCCCAGGATGCGACCCACACCAGTCCACTAACACCCAGGTACCTATTTACTGCTAGGTGAACATGGACAACAGGTGTCTTAAGGAAACACACTGAGGTCCAGGGGTCGATCCCTAACCTGGGATCGACCCCGGACTCAGTGTGTGCAAGCTGAGTACGATAGCAATCGATTATATATTAAATGAAATTGGAATGGGTGGAATACCTACACTTAGTCCACTGTTTTGCCTTAAGAACTTGTAAAGACTGTAGAAATTAATAAAGTTAGTTTGTTCCTGGCATATCCTCGCTCAAACATGTATAGAAATTATTCTATACATATGCATGTTCATTTTGGTAATATATACATGGTTTCCGTCAATACATGAGTATACAGAAGCATGCATAGTCTAGCGTAGCTCTGCGGTTGATGTCCGCGTTGCTTGGTCAGTCAGGTTAAGCAGTGTTGTGTTTAACTTGTGTAGTTGTGTGTTTATTGTTATATTGGAAGGTCGTAGCTCTCTCAGGAAAGGGGCGTGGTGACTTCTGTAGGAACTACAGTAAACACTCCACTCCTCCCTCCCTCCCTCCAGCACTCCCACCCTGGGAGAGGTTCAGTATATAACTCCACAGCTCTGGTCAACATCATTCATTCTCTCGTCCCAGCAACAACATGAAGGTGAGATGCCACTGGTACACTATTTTTACCCTCATTTTTTCGAATATATTATATATATTATATATATATTATATATATATATATATATATATATATATATATATATATATATTATATTTATATATATATATATATATCATGCTAAGAAAGTAGCATGTCTATGCCACATCCAACAAACTTAGCAGACTCTTGGATATCACTTCTGCCAGACTCCTGCTAGGCTTCACCTTCCTCTGGGAGGCTGCATTACCAGCTGGTGTAGACATAACTAAACTAAACTTTGCCAGATGGACAATTATTACACCTTGAGTCATTATGCTCTGCTCTGTGCAAAAAAAGTCGACTACCCACAGATGTTTATTTATGTCAATATATTTTATCCACAGAGGCATATTACCAGACATTCCGGAAGAGTGTCATGCTTTTAACTCTTGTAAATAACTCATGACAGCTTAACCTTATCTAAAGTTAATCATGCTGGCTAAAATATTAAATATTATAATAATTCATGAACATATATAAGCTTTATTGTATTCTTGTAATTTAGTTCACGTCTGCATAAAAAAAAATTCATTGTTAATGTTACTGAAAGATCATAAACTTGTAACTCTCATGACTCCAGGAATAGTGATACCACGACTGCATACAGATCACGGAACGGGTGGGGTCTGAACTCATGGCAAGTGATTCGTAAAAATCAGAGGCCAGTACGTTAACTGCTCGGCTAGCTGGCTCTTATAAGATTCATCCAACTACGTATATTCGTATAAACCATAGAGAGGTTAGCATGGGTCACAACTGTGACCACAGACGTGGGGTTCACCTGTAAAAACCTCCATTGATGATCACAGTGGTGACCCATGCTGACTTCCATATGGTGTGTCGAAATATACCTAGTTAGATGAATCATAATGGAGACAGCTGGCCCAGTGGTTAACGCCCGGACCTATGACTTTTACGACTCGCTTGCCATGGGTTTAGTCGCCACCAGTTCTCTAATTTATTTTAATAAACTTGTAAATAGATTATTAGCATGTAACCTAATTGCCTCTCAGAACAAAACCCAGTTCCTGGATCCATTGTATCCCTCTGTAATTTTTAAACTACCACCAATGGGGAATGGAACTGGGAGACTGCCAACCTCAGAATGGGTATGTGGTGCCTGCCACCCTCCCAATGGTAATGGGATGCAAACTAGAGCTGTTAAATCAACATTCTGGTCGTCATCAACAGAAAAAAAATATTTGTCGTTTCTTAACACAGGTGGTACTTGCTTTAGCCATGGTGGGTGTCGTGGTGGGTGTCCCACCACAGTATGGTTACTCTCCTGCCCCACACTACAGACCCACTCCATCCTACCCTCCTGCACCAACTTACAAACAGCCCCATCCTACAAGCCAGCTCCCTACCATCCCACTCCATCCTACGGACCATCCCCGTCCTATGATGTAAGAATATCTATCAGTTCACTTAATATTTATATATCGAAGTCGTGAAACATGTTAATTTTGTTTAAATATAATTTTAAGGAAGATAATAGTCATATTCTGTGATAAGTGATGCTACGATTATTCCAGAGTCATCCTCGGTACGATTTCAACTATGCTGTGAAAGACGACTATTCCGGTAACGACTTCGGTCACCAGGAGACTCGTGATGGCTACAACACCCAGGGGACTTACTACGTGCAGCTCCCAGACGGTCGTCTGCAGCAGGTGACCTACACTGTCAATGGTGACTCTGGCTACGTGGCTGAGGTCACCTACCAGGGAGAGGCTCAGTACCCTCACTACCAACCATCCTACCATCCTGCTCCATCCTACAAGCCTGCTCCATCCTACCATCCTACTCCAGCCTACAAGCCTGCTCCATCCTATCATCCCACTCCAAGCTACAGTCCCCTGCCAGTCTATGCATAACTGTCATACTGTATTCACGTCCTGACATTATATTTGTCAATAAACTGTGAACAAGCTATGAACCTCTTTTAGCCCCAATATAATACTTTCTGTCACATTTATCTAGAATGGAGAGGTTAATTAACATTACCCAATCATTACTCACCCACACACCTCACCACCGTTCCGGTTCCACCCAGCCATCACCTAACCACCAAGTTCAGCTCCACCCATTCATTACACAAACACCTCTTTTCCAGTACTGTGTACTGATGGCTCAGTTAACTCTGACAACATTCATGCAGCAGCTGGAGTCGACGTCTGTGCATGGAGCTTCACTGACAAGTATTTAAATGCGAGTGTAGAGATTAGCAAGAAGACGGTGGGGCGAGTATTTACATCTAAGTGATCAGACACAGGTACAGAAGAGCTTATATTGGGACAACTTTTCACTCAGTATAGAGCTTTATCATGATTTGATAGAGCTATTCTAAAAAGAAAACCTGATTGTTTCCTTACAAGAAGTTCTCTTCCAGTACACATAAACCTATATCAGTGCAACTTACATTTTCACTTTTAATTCACAGTTTGTAGAGTCTTGATCGTGGTTTATAGTGGACTGTTCCTTCAGCACCAAAGATAAACAACAGTTTTGGTATTTTTTTTAGGTGGTTGATTAATGGAGTTTAAAGTTCGTCTAATACACGAGGGTCATTAAGCTGCATGTCAAATGCTCATAACTAATTAAAAATACTAACTCTTCAAACAGAGATTAAAATAAACTCTAACCATACACAGAGACATATACTTCACTATGTATATCCTGTGCTCAGCTTTTCTATCCATTAACCATTTTTCCTGAGAATCAAGTAATATTGCAAACAATAACAAGCAATAACTAGGTATATAAATCATAAATAAATATTGGATCATTTATTAAAACAATTATTATAAGCTTACAATGCAAGATTTTCCTTAAATATGATTTATTTTTTGGCTAAACTCAAAATTTCCATACTGACCTGACCTGCCTAATGTAAAGGTTACTTGTGAATTCGATTCTATATAATCTGCATACTAATCCATAAATAATTTTTAGCCATACACTGGGATGGGCGTGTAGGCTGGAGCAGGCCTATAGGCTGGCTGGTAGGTCGGGTACCTGGCTTCTCCCTGGTAGGTGACCTCAGCCAGGTAGCCAGAGTCACCCCTGACAGTGTATGCCACCTGCTGCAGACGACCGTCGGGGAGCTGCACGTAGTACGACCCCTGAGTGTGGTCACCATCGCGAGACTCCTGGTGACCGAAGTCGTTGCCGGAGGGAGGGTCGTTCACAGCATAGTCGAAGCTGTACCGTGCTGGAGCCTACCAAGGAGAAAATGAAATAACTAGCTAAGATACATAATCAAAATACCCAGGCTTGAACAATTCACAACTGAACCACAATATGAAATGACAATAAACGATGCTGTGGTCCATCCTGGACCCTTATCAATCGGTCGAGGGTGGATCGAACCTTCGTGTAAAGTTTTCTCCCAAAATTGTGGCTTAGATGCATAGTGTTTTAATATTATTTTCTAAACTTCGTATATCAACGTCACTTAAATTCTTCACAGCATCTCAATCTGCACGTGCAGAGATTGCGAAGTTCGTCTCTATACCTGGAGTATACCTGGAGAGAGTTTCGGGGGATCAATGCCCCCGCGGCCCGGTCTGTGACCAGGCCTCCCATGTATAAATTCTCAAGTTCATATACTATTACATATTGGCATGGAAGTATATTAAGTTCAATAATAGAGAACATATTTTTGTTGTAAATCTACCAGAAAACTCGTGAATGGTCATAACATACCCCATTCTCAATGTACGAGACTGTAACAGCAAGCTAAGAGGCAGGGCCAGGAGCTGTGAATACATCCCTATAACCAGAAATAAATATAAACAGTATTACTTTACCGATGCGTAGGATGGTGCTGGTCTGTATGCTGGTGCTGGTGAGAACCCGTATGGTGGACCAGATGGTGCTGCCACAGCGGCTGCAGCCAGAGTTACTACAAGAATGACCTGGTGAAGAAGATAGGTATTCTGACTATAACATAATTCGGAAGGTTCTCTAAACTGCGGCATCTCTCACCGATCCTTTTGAGTGTAGGCATTGCGCTTCCCACCTCCAGAAGTGTAACATCTCCACCCATCCTTCAGAGTGACTCACCAAATCGAAAGAACATGATTAAAGGTAAAGGTAGGTAAGGTATGACGGCGGATTTGAGAGGACTTGAGCTAGAGCACACCACAGCCACGCTGGTGTGGGATTCATCTGTTAAAAAAACTGCGTTTGTGGTCACAGTAGTGGCCCATGCTAACACATTTATGGAGTATAGAAATATATTTAGTTTGGTGAATCTTTAAAGTTCAGTGATTAAGCACATTGGCTTGTGAGTGTTTAGAGCTCGCCTACCTTGGGTTCGATCCCTACCCGTTCTGAGCTTCATTCTTCAGTCCGGCTAACCGGTGTCCCCCGAGTCCCTTCATAAATACTACCTTGTTCACACTGCAAGACCTTATTGCTTCTTTACGATATACTGTATTAACTTAGTACAGTATATCGTAAATTAAAATTCTTTCGAAAACTTGTGAAAAGTTTTTGGGGTAACATAAAGCTTTACCTTCATGGTTGTGATGTCGACTGTGGTGTGCGGTGCCGAGCCATGCTACCCCGCTGCTTATATACCCTTCAGAGACCTCTGGGCACGTCGTGATACCCAGCACGCAACAACTGGGTTAAACACACAAAAATTTTTTTTAGGAAAGTTGTGGTTAAAGAGTGAAAATGTGGACTGAACCAATAAGATCAAATGTATAATAAATGGATCACGCTTGTGTACACCTGACACATTTTTACAGCCCCTCCGTATGTTTCCAACACTTAGTAATCCTACCAGACACATTCTTTAGCCTCTCCATATGTTTTCATAACTTAGTAATCCTACCAGACATTCTATAGCCTCTCCGTATGTTTTCATAACTTAGTAATCCTACCAGACACATTCTTTAGCCTCTCCATATGTTTTCATAACTTAGTAATCCTACCAGACATTCTATAGCCTCTCCATATGTTTTCATAACTTAGTAATCCTACCAGACACATTCTTTAGCCTCTCCATATGTTTTCATAACTTAGTAATCCTACCAGACATTCTATAGCTCTCCATATGTTTTCATAACTTAGTAATCCTACCAGACACATTCTTTAGCCTCTCCATATGTTTTCATAACTTAGTAATCCTACCAGACATTCTATAGCCTCTCCATATGTTTTCATAACTTAGTAATCCTACCAGACATTCTATAGCCTCTCCATATGTTTTCATAACTTAGTAATCCTACCAGACACATTCTTTAGCCTCTCCATATGTTTTCATAACTTAGTAATCCTACCAGACATTCTATAGCCCTCTCCATATGTTTTTCAAACTTAGTAATCCTACCAGACATTCTATAGCCTCTCCATATGTTTTCATAACTTAGTAATCCTACCAGACATTCTATAGCCTCTCCATATGTTTCATAACTTAGTAATCCTACCAGACATTCTATAGCCTCTCCATATGTTTTCATAACTTAGTAATCCTACCAGACATTCTATAGCCTCTCCATATGTTTTCATAACTTAGTAATCCTACCAGACATTCTATAGCCTCTCCATATGTTTTCATAACTTAGTAATCCTACCAGACATTCTATAGCCTCTCCATATGTTTTCATAACTTAGTTATCCTACCAGACATTCTATAGCCTCTCCATATGTTTTCATAACTTAGTAATCCTACCAGACACATCCTTTAGCCTCTCCATATGTTTTCATAACTTAGTAATCCTACCAGACACATTCTTTAGCCTCTTCCCTATGTTTTCATAACTTAGTAATCCTACCAGAACATCCTTTAGCCTCTCCACATGTTTTTCATAACTTAGTAATCCTACCAGACATTCTATAGCCTCTCCATATGTTTTCATAACTTAGTAATCCTACCAGACACATCCTTTAGCCTCTCCATATGTTTTCATAACTTAGTAATCCTACCAGACACATTCTTTAGCCTCTCCATATGTTTTCATAACTTAGTAATCCTACCAGACACATTCTTTAGCCTCTCCATATGTTTTCATAACTTAGTAATCCTACCAGACACATTCTTTACCTCGCCAGATTTTTTTTAAAGGAAGTAATCCTACTAAACGCATTGTGCTACTCAGTTTGTCTTCGAGACTCGGCAGGAATGCGTCTTATTGCAGAATGTTTTGCTAGACACATTCTGACTTTTTCAATGTTTTTCACATTCAGTAATGCAAAACAGAGATATGCATGATGAATGGACACAACAATAAGTCACTATCTCTCTTGGAAACGAAATCTTTTTCAAGTTTGTAGAGAGTATATGGGGAACGTGGGTTATAATAGGCAGGGTGACGACCGTAGGAGTTTTAGTTATCTGTCGCCTGAGTGGCTAGTTTACTAAGCACTCGCGGCTCATCCAGTGAGTGGAAGCGCAAATTACAGGTTTACAGAGGCTACAATTGGTCTTTGTAACATCACAGAGAAGGAATATTAGTTATTTTGTACTTTAAAACGAATTTATGTAGTTGTACACAGTACAATAAAGAACACAATCTGAGCATGAACGAATATCTGGGAAAAAAGTCAGTTCGTCGATGTTGCCAATTTAGACGAGTTTGGAAAGTTGAGAATTCATTTATTCCTGAATCTTTATAATGGCATTTGTTTTTAAAGTTGATCCTAATGGTTTCTAGTTACATAAACAGTATACAATACTATTTATATGATGAAATAAGACACATGTGCTACACTTAGGTATGTTCAAAGTTTTTGTTCAGTTTACGTTCTTCAGTAGCTGTTGGAACACAGGGCCGTGAATTTACAATAAATCATTAGATAAATATTAACATTGAACTCGTGCAGCAAGCTTCTCCAGTCGACTACAGAGGCAACTAACATACTGGAAACAGATGAAGATACGGAGATTTTGAGGTGGACGAGGGAGACCTATGAAGAAGACCGATTTGTTTTAATTTTTAAATTTAGTAAAGATGTATATATATAAATCGTCCTCATTAGCGTTAGCTATTCTGGTGACTATACGTAGAATTTGTGAGTTAACATTTCCCTAAATCTTTTGCTCAGTGTGGTGCAAAGTTTCCATACAAAGCAGTTCATGCTACACTGTGAAATGTGTTGCTCAGTGGTTTAGTTACTGTGAGGTTCTCCGATGACTGGCCATGAAACATCCCAGACGTGAACGCCTTTCGAACCCCTCTGGTTCTCGAATAGAGATCTACGAGAGAAAAGATAACAACCCATCCCCGTGGCTTTAGGACGCCATCTGTGAGTTGTGGGGTAATTTACCCCGTGGAACTCTGACGGTTGAGGGATGTACTAAAGCGCAAGGGACGACCTATTTAGTGGTCGGGATTTTAGAGGGGACGACCAGCGTACTATAATGACGAGTACTGAAGGTGAGGCTGCTGGATGCAGTACTTGGAACTTCTTGGGTATAAAGATGAAACTAAATGACGTATTGGCCCTTCTAGGACTCAGATTTGATAGTGGTCCAGGTCTAGTTATGTTTGTCAGTTTGAGAGTTAGTTGAGCATCAACTGAGATTGATACACAAACTCGAAACATCGATTTCTTGTCCACTTTTCTAAGCATTTTACGGCAGTCAGTTTGCAAAAGTCTGTTGACTTGTCTATTTTATATTTTTAACCTCTAGGGAAAATCATTATAGTCCAAAGTCTTCCCCAGGACGCCACCACAACAGTCGACCAACGCTCAGGTATCTATCAAATGCTAGGTAACAAGGAAAGTAGGTGTTAGGTGACTTGTCCATACGTCTCACCTCGTTCAGGATGCCACCGACAGCAACCTACTTAACACCCAGATAACACATGCATCAGGTGTTAGAAGACTCGCTCATTTTACCTATATTTAACAGGTGATCCACAAGAGCTCTGGTTTCTCCTTCCTGACACATCTGGGGCTGTTTGTCTCACGATTTCTTTGTGCAGTGTCATGGTCAGTCATGAAGAGGCACGCCCTTCAAGTGTCATAATCACTGTAATAACAGAATACAATACATACAATGAATGAATGAGAAATATGAGCAACGGTTAGGTATCTATATTCCTCTGTATTCAACTGAAAAAGCCTAAGGGTGTCCCGAAGCTCGATTGCTAGCGCACTCAGCTCGCACACCGGAGTTCGAGTCTCTGGTACGGCTGGAAAACATTGGGGACGTGTTTCCATAAGACACCTGCTGTCCCTGTTCACCCATCAGTATAAAATGGGTACCTGGGTGTTAGGCGACTGGTGTGGGTCGCATCCTGGAACAAAATTGACCTAATTTGCCAGAAATGCTCAGCATAACAAGCGGCTTTCTAAATACATGTAGTAGTAAGTCATTGATGTCAGCTATGGTCTGTATACTTTGTACATGTACTGGTAGAAATAAAGGTATTTATTATTATTATTATTACTACTTACTGTTTAAGCAAAACGGGTCGGAATAAAGATACCTTACTTGTTAGGGTGCCTCATTACTGGCGAATGGGTGTTGATTCCAGTAAATCAAGCAGCCCTTCCTTTCATTGCTCTGTGTAGAACTTTGTCTTGGTATGATAAAGCTCTACACAGAATGGAACGTTGTTCCATTTAAAGCTTGCTCCGGGAACTTGTATCTTTGTTTTCAGATCCCGATTCTCCGTCCGATAATAGCGACACCCAACCACGGAGTTCAAGTTTATTCTCTATAAGGGTTACAATGCGGGGTTTGCAGGTTTTGGGTATTGTGTGGTTTATATGTTATAAAATACTTATTACAGAGGGGGCCACTAGGACACATAGCATGGCTAGGCATTTCAGGCAGACTTAGACTAATTCTTAACATTAAATCCTTACAGATTATAGTATTAAGGCTAAGTGACACGAGTTGGTGTCTACTGGAAAATCTACAGCAGTAAACTCCGCCTGCTACACGAGTGCAGTCAAGGTCTACTACACCATAAGCACACATTATTGTTGATTCCAGCTGAGGTTGGTGGTTCACAATGTTTGGGTGGAGCTGAGGCGAGTAACGATTACGTGGTAGTGAAGCAAGTTGTTGAGTAATGATTGGGTAATGCTATATGAACTGTCCATTCTAGTAAATGTGACAGAAATTGTTGCATTGGGGCTGAAAAAGGATCATAGCTTGTTCACAGTTTATTTATAAATATAATGTCAAGACGTGAATACACGATGACGGTTATCCATACACAGGCAGGGGACTGTAGCTTGGTGTGGGATGATAGGTAGGAGCAGGCTTGTAGGCTGGAGCAGGCTTGTAGGATGGAGCAGGATGGTAAGATGGTTGGTAGTGAGGGTACTGAGCCTCTCCTTGGTAGGTGACCTCAGCCACGTAGCCAGAGTCACCATTGACAGTGTAGGTCACCTGCTGCAGACGACCGTCTGGGAGCTGCACATAATAAGTCCCCTGGGTGTTGTAGCCATCACGAGTCTCCTGGTGACCGAAGTCGTCACCGGAATAGTCGTCCTTCACAGCATAGTTGAAGTCGTACCGGGGAGGAGTCTGGAATAATCATAATGTCACTTATCATAGAATGTGACCATAGTATTTTCTCTTAAAATTATATTAGGCACTATTAACATGTTTCACAGTTACGATACATAAACATTAAATAAGCTCTTAGATATCCTTACATCATAGGACGGGGATGGTCCGTAGGATGGAGTGGGATGGTAGGGAGCTGGCTTGTAGGATGGGGCTGGTTTGTAAGTTGGTGCAGGAGGGTGGGATGGAGGGGGTCGAAAATTTGGGGGGCAGGAGAGAAAACCATACTGGGGTTTGGGACACCCCCCACGGAAACCCCCCATGGCTAGGGGAAAGTCCCAAACCTAAAAAAAAGAAACGATATATTTTTATTTGTTATGACGACCAGAATGTTATTTTAATTAATAATTCGACCCCCCTTTTCCCATTCGGAGGGGGGGCGGGGAACCACAAACCCATCCGACAGGGGTTTTGAAAAGTTTAAACAGAGGCAAAAAAAGGTCGGGGGCCCCGGGCCCAAAAAATTTTTGAAGCTAAACAGTTAAGGGGAATTCACTTAAAAAAAATTTTTATTTAATTGATAATAGACTTAATGAGTTTCTTAACCCAGACTTTAATTTTAAAAGTCAAAAATACAATCTAGATTATAATTTTGGTTATGATTAAATTTAAAATACAAATTTTTTTTACCCAATGTTGATTTTCCAAAAAAAAAAAAAGTTATTTTTCTAATTGAAAATAAGAAAATTGGGATTTTCCCTTTTTTTAAATGGTTTTTAAATATGCTATTATAAAGTGCCAAAATTTTCTTTCTCGTTTAAATTTATGATGATTTCCCTCTCTGTTTTTTAATATTTTTTTAATCGCACCCCATGCATGTTACGCGAGGGTGATAGTTGCCCTATCTGGCAAGGTTACTTTTTAGTTATGTCTACCCAAACAAAATGATGATACAAAACCCCTTCCGATAAATAGTTTAGCCCAGCCGGAGCCGGCATATGACACCCAAAGGGGAAACGGGTAACCCACGGGACCTGGAAAGTAAACCATCCAAATTTATTTGGTATCCCAAAACCGGACCCTGGCAGTATAAAACCCGAGGATTTGGAAACCCCCACAGGACCCTGGAAGTAGTGACATCCACAATTCTGGTACCCCCAGCCGGACCCGGCATAGTAAATACAGGGGAAAACTGGTACCCCACCGGAAACCTGGCATAGTGACATCCAAGGGCAGGGGTAATCCACAGGACCCTTGGAAGTAGTGACATCCAGGGGAACTTTTAATCCAGCCGAGCCGGGCAAAGGGGATATCCAGATTTACTGGTAACCCAGCGGGAAAGCCGGGAAGAGGGGCATCCAAAAGTATTTGGTTTAACCCAGCAGGAGCCTGGAAGTAGTAAAAACCAAAAACTGGAACCCGGGCCGAACCTGGCAGTAGGACACCCAAAGGGGTACGGGTAACCCAGCCGGAGCCGGGAAGTAGTGCACCCCAAAACCCCTCGATTTTTTTAGCGTGCCCCTTTGACATGAAAACTCCTCCCTGGAGTTTTAATGATAGAGGGATTTGACTGCTGTAACCCTCCTTCATTTCAAGTCAGTGAAGCTCGTTTCCCAACGTTTCCCGTTTTTCCTTCGGGTTACCATTTAACCACTCAATTTTTTTATACCCCTCCAACAAGGTATTTTTATGCTCCTATGAATGAAATAGATTTTATGTAACAAAACTGTATTTACCATTCTTAGTTTTTAAAAAACCAAACCCTTTTTTTGGGGGAACCCAAAAATATAGCTTGGAAACAACAACTTTTTGGGCCCTTGTGAAACCGTGAAACCTGGGGGAAAAATGAGAGTGAAAACAGTGGTACCAGTGGCATCACCCTCATGTTGTTGTTTGGGACGAGAAATTAATTTATTTTTGACCAGAGCTGTGGAGTTAAAAAACGAACCTTCCCAGGGTGGGAGGCTGGAGGAGGGAGGGAGGAGTGGAGGTTTACTGGGGAGTTTCCCACAAAATCACCACGCCCCTTTTCCCGAAGAAACTTCACCTTCCAAAATAACAATAAACACACAACTACACAAACGCAACACTGCTTTAAACCTACGACCCCAAACAACCGGAAAATCCCAAACCCCAGGCTACGCTTAAAACTATGCATGCTTTTTTATACTCATGGGAATTTACGGAGATCGTGTATATATTACCCAATGATATTCTACACAAATGAAAATGCACATGTATAGGATAATTTCTATACATGTTTGAGTGAAAATATGCCAGAAACAAACTTGCCATGATAAAGTTCGGACAATGACAATTCAGTTAAGGACACATTTCATTTAAGGACGCAGTTTATTTATGGACGCAATTCAGTTAAGGACGTAAAACAGTAAAATACAAATAGATATACCACCCCTGTCTCATTATTTTATTGCTAACAGTCTCTCCAGGTCAAATATAGTCGATATATGTGAGTGAAGTCATTTCAGAGCAGCAGGAGGGTCAAAAATTTGTTTTCTTAATTCAGTAATTTAGTCGAAATATGTGTGTGTGTGTGTGTGTGTGTGTGTGTGTGTGTGTGTGTGTGTGTGTGTGTGTGTGTGTGTGTGTGTGTGTGTGTGTGTGTGTGTGGTGTGTGTACTCACCTATTTGCTCACCTATTTGTGGTTGCAGGGGTCGAGTCCTAGTCCTGGCCCCGCCTCTTCACCGGTTGCTACTAGGCCCTCTCTCTCCCGCTCCATGAGCTTTATCAAACCTCGTCTTAAACTGTGTATGGTTCCTGCCTCCACTACGTCATTTTCTAGGCTATTCCACTGTCTTACA